CGCCACTCAACTCCCAGACATTCCTCCAACTAATCGATATTCCAATCCACCCATTGACCCACATTATCAAAAGTGAAAAATCTAGCACTCATTTTTATGGGCACCGTCCTTCTCCAACATTCCCGTGCGATTTTATAGTCTCTAAGTACATGTAAAATACTCTCTGTGACTCCCACACACCAAACACAATTATCATTTTGCTGCATCCCCCTAGTAACCCGAGCATAGTTTGTCAGTAGCCGTCCCCGGACACACAACCATAGAAACATACGACATCGTTGGGGTACAGGAAGCTTCTAAAGCTTTCGCCAACTACCTCTACTACAAACAATATCCTGATAGCCCAACATATTGTATGCTGATTTAATTGAGAACATACCATCCTTTGTACCCTACCAACGCACAGAATCAACCGCTTCTCTTCTAACACGTGGATACGTTCTCTCAATATTATAAAGTACTGAGCCTGGGAGAAAGCGAGCAAATTTCACCCACAACCTAACACTGTCCTCATCCAAATACTCAGCAACCTTGTCATCAAGCATATAGAGGGGAACATTCCCGGGAGCATAATCAATTAATCGTCCATGGTGTGGGAGCCAGAAATCCTTCCAAAACTTTATTTGGGTACCATCACCAAGTTTCCATTCAATACCCTTCACAACCGAGTCCCAAATTAAACTTGGTTAATCCCCTTCCAAGACTGAGAACTTCCTTCCCTTCTCTCCACCTTCGGGATAATATCTGCACCGCACTTATATTTTTCTCTAACAAATTTGACCCACAATGCATGCGGATTCTTAATCATTCCCCAACCAAGCTTCATCATAAAAGCTTTGTTTTGGGAACAAGAATTTCGAAGTCCTAGACCACCCTCCTCCTTTTGCCTACAAATATCCTCCCAAGCTACCAAATGAACTCTCCTTGAAGACCTCGAGCTACCCCATAAGAAGTTTCGACACTTTTTATCAATTTCATCACATACCCCCAGGGGAAGAGGGACGGTCTGCATAGTGTATTCTGGGATTGTGGCAATGACTGACGAAACAAGAGTATGTCAACCCGCCATAGACAAAGTATTAGTTTTCCATGCTGCCAGATGACTCTCCATTTTATCTAAAACATATTGGTATGTTTGTTTAGATATTCTCTAGTGATGTAAAGGCACCCCTAAGTATTTGCCCAAGTCTGTCGTAGGGGTAAAACCAAGGAAGCTACTGATCTCAGTCCGTCGGTTATGATTCACATTTTGAGAGAAGAAAATTCTAAATTTGGCGTCATTGACCTTTTGTCTAGACGTGAGACAAAAATCATCTAAGCAAGCCTTTATCAATCCCGCTTGTTCCATATTAGCTTTTGCAAACAAGAGTAGATCATCAGTAAAAAATAAATGAGAAATCTGAGTTCCATTCTCTTTCAGTTGGAATGGAAGCCAATTGCCTTCCTCCACCTCATTTTGAATCAAATGAGCCAATTTCTCCATAACAAGAACAAATAAATAAGGCGAGATAGGATCACCTTGTCGGATACCCCAGGAAGGAGAAAAGCTATCACCTTTTGCGCCATTCCAGATAAGTTGCATTTGGGCTGAATTAAGACAATAAGATATAATCTCCACAAAGTTTGGTGGGACAGTTAACTCCTTCAAACAATCAAGAACAAAGTTCCAATGAACTCGATCATAAGCCTTTTCCAAATCAATCTTTAGAGCCATAAAGCCCTTCTTACACTTCATATTTCTCATGGAATGAATAATTTCTTGTGCCAAAATAATATTGTCTGAGATTTGTCTTCCCGGGATAAAACTACATTGATTAGGAGCTATCACAGAGGGTAGAATATGCTTGAGACGATTCGCTAAGATCTTTGTAATCGCCTTATACACCACGTTGCAAAGACTTATAGGACGGAAGTCTTTAAATGTTTGGGGCCGGTCAACTTTGGGAATAAGAGCAATGTTTGTACCATTCACCCGTGCAATATCCTTCGGGAAGTAACTCTCTTTACCGTGAGTTTGGTATGAGGGATTTGGAGAGGAGTGGAACCCTCCTCTAGTTTGGCTTCCTAGCCCCCCCCTAAAAAAAAGTCTCCTTCAAAATTAGAGGGATTTAATGGAAAGTGTGATAATAAGAGGGTAAAATGATGTTAGTGGAAATAACAAATTCAAACTTTAATTTCATGATACATAAAGAATTGTTATATTTATTAGGGAAAATATGGACACTAAATCATTTTTTTTAGACGGTCTTATGCTATGTTTCGATGGAGAGAAAATGAGAGAGGAAGGAAAACTAGGAAGAAAAATGAGAAGAGAAGTGGTTTTTCTTCTATTTTGATAGATAAAGAAAAGTGGGAAGAAAGAAAAGTTGAGGAGATAATAAAGTGGGTCTCACAGTCTATTTTTCTCCCTACTTTTCTCTCCATATATGGAGAGAAAATGAGAAGAAAACATTTTTCCTCTATACCCTTACATATGTTTTTTTAGAAAAATAATACCTATTTATTTTTTTATCTTTTCACTTTATTTATTATTATCAAGTCTTTCTTCTGTGTTTTCTTGATTAAAAAACAAAATAGCTAAAATTGTAATAATCCTTCTAAAATGAATTGAAAGAAAAAAGAAGTAGAGTTGTTTTGGTTTTTTTAGCATTACATTACACAAAATGTTATTTTTTTTTTTTTTTTTAAAATTATTTGATATTAAAATATAATAACATGATAATATATCTTTATCAGATAATTTGATTTTAAATTATATGATTATGTTAATTTAAATATGGTTTTTTATTATGATATTTAATTTGATTTTAATCAAGATATATTTTGCTATAATAGAAAGGGTACTTTAGTCATTCATATATTTACTCATTTTCTTTTCTTTATGTTTTCTCTTGTCTATCCAAACATGAGAGGTGATAATATTTTCTCTCCAATTTTCTCTTCTCTCAATCTTCTCTCCTCTCATTTTCTTTCCTCTTCACTTTTGTTGGGTTAATGATATGGAATATTAAAAAGTGACTTGTATAAGACCCTTGTTTGGTTGGATTATGTGCAAGGGATTACATGTAACTATTAGGTAGAAGAACGAAGAACGAAGATAGAAAAACTCTAAACTCTTATTAATGATAAACAAATGAGATATAACAAAACTATCAAGGAGGGCCAACAAACCCCACTTGGCAATTTAAGAGATGATCGTTGCCAACCTCTCAGTAAGTAAGAATTTTACTATCCCTCACAACAAATCACTCGCTAAGACTACTCTTATTTAACTAACAAGATAAACACAATTCAATATTCCAACACGCAGACTCAAGTTGATACTATTTAAACTAATTAAAATGTGAACTTGTAATACAAAACATAAACGTGGAATGAAGTGAATTGAATCAAATGACAACAAAAGGATAGGTTTCTTTAATTAAAAAAAAAAGGTAACACTGTACTCATCTTCTCCATCAACTTGGCTCCAAGGTCCTTGCCGTCCTCCTCCTCCTCCACCTTTCTGGTTGTTGTTTCTTGGCTTCTTCTTCTTGTTTTTTCTTTAAAAAGGCATTTTTTGTCTTTTTGATTGTTTGTCATTAACTAAATATCAAATTATTTCTAGTTGTCATTCCACAACTTCTATCATAACCAATTGAATGAGTTGTGTGTGTGTGTGTTTTTTTTTTTTTTTGGTTTTTTGTTTTGGGGGGGGGGGGAGATTATTGTAGAAGGCCCTTTTTCGAGCTCTGTCTCTCTTTTCCTTCTAAACCCTAGCCTTCACCCTCTGCTCTCCCTGCTTCTCTCCCCCCCCCCCCCCCAAAAAAAAAAAGGTGTTTGGTCTTCTTGTCCTCGTAACCCTTAGCCATCATGATAAAGTTGACATTGGGCTTGGTCTAATAAAGTCTTTATAAATTTTTTTAAGCAAAGAAGTCTTTATATATTAATGAAACCAAATAAATTATTTAATTCTAATAAATGTGAAATGATTCCCTAAAATATTGCCATATAACGTTAAATTATATATCAAATTATAAAGTATTACATAAATTATTAGTTTAAAGAAAAATGATAAATATGGAAAATAAAATATTATTGCACTATCTTGCATAATTAAACTATGATAATTAACTTAGTCGGAAGATACACAAGATATGTGAAACTTTGATAATATTATTCTTAATGTAATCACAATTTTTATGTAAAAATTAAGCAGTGGATTCGGAATCGTAAATGGCATGATTCATGAAGCAACAGGCAAGTGCGGCATCCATATCAATACGACATAAGGCAATACATATACATACATTTAACAAATGAACATTCTGAATCTTATAATAATAAAAAATTCACATACATAAAAAAGAATCTTACATTTAAAAATAAGATTACGTGGTATTTTTAAGATGAAGTGTGAAAGATGAGTTGTATTCTAAATGATGAATAAATAATGTAAATAATATAATTTGATGTAAATTATATATTTTATATTTATGTTAATCTGCATATATCGAATATACAATGTACATTTGAAGGGTTACATCTAATGATAGTAATTAAAATCAATTAGAAGAGATCTACTATATCCTATATGTGGGGGTTCAACATTTAGGTTTCCTTATTATAAGCACATAAGTATTTTTTTTTCATTGGCCATAGTCCTCTTTAAGATGTTATCAGGTACTAAATGTAAAGCATATTTTATAAGAGAATTCAAACCTTAATTAGTTCGTCTTATTATAAGGGATTAGTTCTTTTTGTCAGACTCAATTATGTTGATGTAAAATTAAGTTATTGCAATGAGCAAAACACCCCTACACTTTGAGAGAAATTTGTAATCGCACAAACTAAGATTCTTAGCATCAAAAGATGATAAAATTCAAAATTTAAAATTCAATATCCTTGAACGTAGCTTTTTCCAAAAAAAAGAATAAAAGAAACAAGAGGAAGAAGGCACACATATGAAGAATCAAAAAATTATATTTATATATCTTGAGCTATATATAATAAGCACATGATTAATGAAAGGATAAAATTGAATGGAAATGAACAACTAGGGAAAGAAGGCAAAGGAGGAGTGTGCCAGAGAGACAAGTTGATCCAACAGTTCCACAAACCAAACCCATAATCTGAATCAGATCGGAGATTAAGGTTTTATTTCTGCGATGACTGTTCATAATGACATCATCATGTTGTTCTTCATTCTGATGACGATAATAATTCCAACCAATCTCGCATCTGCAGCAACTCTCTAATCTCTCCTTCACCTTCACCATCTCCATCCTCTCCTTCAAAACATCCAGATTTTTATCCACAATATTATTATCCTTCCTCGTTGATCTCCCTGCGTTATATCCACCAATTCAACATCGTCATTCAAATGACTTTACAATATATGAATCATATTCTTATAGACAGATTTTAACTTAGGGAGAATCACTAATTGGTCACATTAAAGGAATGCAATTATAAGTTTCAGTATAAAAAATGATAACTGCAGGTTCACATTGCTTATTTGTAATTAGGATATTTGTTGGTGATTACATTCCTTGCTTTATTATTTTTTCTGCTACGAATGTATATCTTTCTGTTGGAAGTACTGTCGGTTATTAAATATACATATATATTTTTCAACAGGGCCTGCTAGACCCAACCCTGTCAGTTACATTCCTCGCTTTAATTTAACTAGAAAAGGTTAAAAAAAAAAAAGCATGATGAGTGTTATTGTTCTGGGATTCTCTCTAGGCGCAGAAGGATTCAAGCAGAGAGAGCAAGAGAGAGAATTTTTTGTAGCGCTCATTAGAGACCTATTCATCTCTTTCTCTGTCTGCCTGGAGTGAAACTAATAAAATATAACATGTTGAAATGCTGTGTCTTAAATGATTTATCTCATCAAGTCGAACATAGATGTGAATATATGCAGAGAAAAGAAAGCGAAAGAAAAACTGCAGAATATGCAGAATCAAAATTAAAGTCAGAAAATCTGCAGAAGAAGATAAAGAATATTTATGTGTGTGTGTGTGTAGAGAGATGAGGGGGAGGGAGAGAGATGAACAGACCTTCGTCTTGGAAGGTATGAACTTTGATTAGTCTGAGGGTTTTGGGAGATTTGTTAGGAAGGAATAATGGAGAACGTCTTCCATTTGCAGAGAACAACGAAGGAAGAGAATAAGATGCCATGTAGCTCTAGCTGGATATAGCACTGTGTTTTCTGTTACCTGTTTGTGTCCTTATATAATGTGTATAGATGCTAGATGCACACACACACATATATATGTAGACATATATTAATGGCAAAAAAAAAAAAAAGACATATATACACACTGTGTGTGTGTGGGACAAGGCTGTCTTCCACTAACTGTTGAAACATTCAAGAGTCAAAAATGGGTTCTTTTAAAATATGTGTGGTTTTTTAAATTATTATTTGGTGGTACTCCTTCGGTCTTTAATATAAGATCCATTTAACTAATTTGATTAGATTAAGGAAGTTGGGTAAGTTAGTTAATTATAAGAAAAATGACACATTTTTCCTAAAACACCATAATCATCTTTCTTAATACTCTTTCTCCCTCTTCTACTTGATTATAGTTGAGGGAGTATCCATGGGGTAATTTAGAGAAAGTTAATAAATATGAGAAATGGGTCTTATATTTAGGACCAAAACCAACTTAAGAATTGGGTCCTATATTAAGGACCCGAGGAGTATATATGGTAACAAAAAGTGAATCATTTTTTATTTGGATTCCAAGCTCTTAGTTATTATAAAAATTACATGAAGTTTAATTTAAGTTGAAAAACAAACAAAACGCCTTTGAGTCTATTGTTCTTTTTTTAAAATATAATCTAAAGAATATAATGTATATGACTGTACATTTAATAAATCCAACTAAAAATACTATCATTAATTCGAAAAAAATCCATGCATAATAATTACTTCTACTTACTACGCTAATCGTTGAACATGTATAAAATAATATTTTCTTAACCAAAATAAATAAATTATTATTTTATTATATTTTTCAAAATAATATTTCAAGTCAATCCCAAATTTTATCCCGAAAGGTTTTTCACTTACATAAAGACGCCGGAAATAGTTGGAATAATGGTCATATACGCCGCCCCTAATCGTCGGATGAAACTATGATTTTAATTTTTTATTGGATATATCTTTTATGCCGTTATCTTAGGAAGAAAAGAAAAGGGGTAATGACAGTAAAAGATAATCCTTCAAATTATTTTTTAATATATATACACGTTTTAAAATAAAATAAAAACATTTTATTCGTGTGAATGGTCAAATTATTCAGAGTAGTTTATATATGATACATAATTTATCTAGAAAGTGAAAGAGGAAGGTCACAAGCAATTATATTTATATATGCCCATTGGAAATAATTCAGAAAATGCCAATTGCTAAAATCTATTATTTATCATCAGGGTCGGTGAAAACTAACAAGAGTCTGACCATTTCTCTTTTTTTCTTCCCCCTTCTTCTTTCATGATATTAAATAAAGAAAACTATTTTTAATATAATATTACCTCCGACTCTTAATATAAAAGTTAGTTTCACTTTCAATTTGGTCTTAAATATAAGACCCCATTCTATTTTGTTTCTCATATTTATTCATTTTTTCTTAAGGTGCTCATTGTAGTAGTTGCACATGTTATATATGATTAGCAAGGGTATTTTAAAAAAAACGCATATTTATTATAAATAACAAATTTAACTAATTTTCTTAATATAATTAAATTAGTCAATTAGTTCTTATATTAAGAATTAGAGGTAATATTTAAAATTTGATATCATCAGATTAAATTTAAGTATTTTCAAGTCTCATTGAACATATTTGATTGGCGTGTCTTTAGATTAGCAATGGGGAGAATGGATTTTGGATAAAATTCATTTATAAGATAACTTTTCTTGAACTATGATATATAAAATTGATTCATAAGTTATAACAATTAATTATCATGGGTTTTTTTTATAGCTTAAAGCTAAACCAAAGTTTTAACTCAAAAAATTTATTTATTTTCCTAGTGAGAGGGATATTTCGATCATTTAACAAAACAAAGGTTTTGCCATTGATTATATATTCATCAATTCAAATATGCGTTTATTATGAACCCAAAACCAAACTATATATACAAGTCAAAATCAATTATAAACCCTAAAATTATAGCTATCTCATAGGCTTTTAAACACCCATATAAATGCCAAAATCAAATAAGAAACTAAAAGCATGCACTATTTTCGCTTATTTAAACACCCATATAGCGATCTTATGATGATCATAATAAGTTATTATTACGTTTTCAATCTCATAATCGATCTTGACATGTACTATTTTCGCTTCTATAATGTAGAAGAGTTTGTTTTTGTTCTAAATATAATATAATATCTTAATATATTTTATTCTTCAAATTGACAATTTTTTTATAATAATTGCACACAGTAATTAATGGGCTTTCCATCAAGAAATAATTACATTATATGTAACTAGAAAAGGGTATTCTTGAGAAGCAAATCAAACACAAATTTGTTACAGGTGGTTAATTTAATTAATTTTTTTAATATCTATAAATTAATTATTCAGTTCTTATATTAAGGATTGAAAGTAGTATTATTTGGAAATAGTTTCTTTCACCTCAACTTTGTAATTTAATTTTTTTCTTGCAGATAGATTATGGGGTGGCGCTGATAATTAGTTGTTAATTAGGTTGATTAACCAATCTGGCTGGGCAATTATCTCTATTAGTTTTAAAATAAGCAGTAGTTAACGTTAGCCTCGTACGACCCACTAAATTATTTAACGTTTTAAAGCTGTCAAACATAATTTAGCCAATTCAATATTTTCTTTTTCAACTACAGAAAGTGTCAAAGACTAGTTAATAATAATAAACTTATTAAGCCGGTCCTTTCAACTAATCCATCCACAAATAGATCATTCCAACGTCTGCTTCATTATGATTTTTTTTGGGTGAATTATGATTTATTTATTTTAATGAAAGTAATTGCTTGTCACACGTTGACTATAAATAAGTGATACTCTTATAATAATAAACAAAATAAATATTACTTTTTTTTTTAAATATTGATACACATGTCTGATTCAACATCAAATTCAAATTTTTTATTAATATTATTTAAGCTGTGTTTGGCTCGGCCAAGGAAAAGGAAGGAAAAGTATGTTAATGATATATTGTTTGGCATAGAAAGGGAAAGGAAGGGAGCTATTAAAAAATTAATTATTTTACCTTTATAAAAGTAATTTTTCAACTTGATATAAAAACGCTATATTATGTTCTTTCGCTGCAACCACTAGATTAATTAAAACATGGTTATTAATGTTTTTACCTAACTTAAGTTCTTATTACTCTATGTTGAATTTTTTAAAAACTATAATAATTGCTCATGCTTATTTTTCCCAATAATTTTTATCATTTCATATTTTTTTCAACACGATTTTGAGTAGTTTCATATTTTCAGTTGAATTGATGAACATAGAAGGTGAATAAAGTTATTAAAATGCCAAGATTGAGAGAGAAGAAAGAGAGGGCCAAAGAGAAGATAAAAATAAATTATATTATTTTACTAAGATTAATTATATAATAGTAAAATATTTTTTTCCCATCTTCCTCAAAAAAAAAAAAAAGAAACTCTACTTTTGAAGGGGAAACTAGGAAAGAAAAATGAGGGGACCCTCCCCTCTTTAAAAAGTGTTTCTATCAAATTAGGGGAGGGAAGCAACTCCCCTTCCTCCCTACAGTGTGTTTGGTATGAAAGATTTATAGATGAGTGGAGGAATTTTGGTCCTTTTTTCTGTTTGGTTTCTTAAAATATTTTTTTTTCATCCATCCCTTCCAAAATTGGAGGGATTTGAAGGGAAAGTGTGATAATGATAGGGTAAGAAATAACAAATTCAAACTTTAATTTCATGACACATAAAAGAATTGTTATATTTATTAGGGAAAATATGGACACTAATCATATTTTAGACGGTCTTATTGATATGGGATGTTAAAAGTGACTTGATCCTTGTTTGGTTGTATTATATGTAAGGGATCTTACATGTAACAATTAGGTACAAGAATGAAGAATGAAGATAGGAAAACTCTAAATTCTTATTAATGATAAACAAAAGAGATAACAAAACTATCAAGGAGGGCCAACAAACCCCACCTGGGGATTGTTGTCAACCTCTCAGTAAGTAAGAATTTTACTATCCCACACAACCAAATCACTTACTAACACTAACACTACTCTTATTTATAAAGCCTCTGAACGATTAACCCAACTATAATTTTGACTAACAAGATAAAAACTTAAACACAATTCAATATTCCAACACGCCGTCTCAAGTTGATACTATTTAAACTAATTAAAATGTGGACTTGTTATACAAAACATAAACGTGGAACGAAGTGAATTGAATCAAATGACAACAAAGGATAATTTTTTTTTTTTTAGTATTATTATTAACACTGTACTCATCTTCTTCATCAACTTGGCTTCAAGATCCTTGCCATCCTTCTCCTCCACCTTGCTGCTTGTTGTTCCTTGGCTGCTTCTTTTTGTTTTTCCTTTAAAAAGGCATTTTTTGTCTTTTTGATTGTTTGTCATTAACTAAATATCATATTATTTCTAGCTGTCATTCCACAACTTCTATCATAACTAATTGAATGATTTGGGGGGAAAAAGCTTAATTATTGTAGAAGGCCTTTTTGGAGCTCTCTGCCTCTCTTTTCCTTCTACACCCTAGTCTTCACCTTCTTCTGCACTTCTTGCTGCTCCACCCCCGATCGTGTTTTGTCTCTCTTCCTCAACCTTTAGCCGTCATTAGAAATTTGATATTCGGCTTGGTCTAACAAAGTCATTATAATTTTGTGTAATAAAGAAGTCTTTATAAATACGAAGTGTACTTCTAATTCTTAATATAAGAGCTATTTATTTAATTTAAGACTATTAATAAAGCTAAATAAATTATTTAATTCTAATAAATTATAAATGTGACATGATCCCACGAAATATTGCTATATAACATTAAATTATATATCAAATTATAAATTACGTAAGTTATTAGTTTGAAGAAAATTAATAAATATAAAAAAATATATTAAAGTCTTACATTTATGATCAAAACCAACTTCTTAATACCTGCTATATTTTAGAACCAGAAAGTAGTTGTTTACTTTCTATTGAAGTCTTTTGATTTAACTGAATTAGATATTCATTTAATTTGTCAATTTAAAACTAAAATATACTCCCTTCAGTCCTAAATATAAAACCTTTTTTGTAGTATAAATTATACTATAAAAATAGTCTTATATTTAGAATCGGAGGAGTAATCAACCTCTTCTTACAACCATATGTCTTCTCTTTACAAAATTCACATCCACATTTTAGTCTTTTAACTCTGTATAGAATATTTCATCATGAATCTAAAATACATTTCATTCGCGAAAATTTATATCACAATCATCTAAATTACTAACATGCCTCCATGAACTAGATTTATTTCATCATGTAGGGAATAGAATAATATGGAGAATAATTCTCTTGTATCTCATTGATCAGAATATACACACATATATACAAGTGAGAGGAGCTTCTGCATTAATGGCTCATTATGATAATATCATATCCTATCAAATCCTAATCATAATTACATAATATTTACATATCAAATCATATCATATCTCTACACTCCCCCTCAAGTTGGAGCATAAATGTTAAGCATGCCCAACTTGTCACACAGATAGTCAACACGAGTCCCATTTAGAGCTTTAGTTAGAAGGTCGCCTAATTGATCACTAGAACGCACATATCCAGTGGAGATGAAGTTCTCCTTAAGCTTGTCTCTGATAAAATGACAATCAATCTCAATATGTTTGGTACGTTCATGGAACACAGAATTGGAGGCTATATGTAGGGCAGCCTTATTGTCACACCACAACTTTGCTGGCAAAGTGGTTTTGAGGCCAACTTCCTTTAATAGCTGATATATCCAGATTATCTCACATACAGACTGTGCCATAGCTCGGTATTCTGCCTCTGCGCTCGATCTGGACACCACATTTTGTTTCTTGCTTTTCCAGGACACCAGATTCCCGCCCACAAAGACACAGTATCCTGTAGTAGACCGTCTCGTGGCCTTTGATCCACCATGATCCGCATCACAGAAGCACTCAATGTCTGTATGGCCATGATTTTTGTATAATATCCCACGACCTGGACATCCCTTCAAATAATGTAACACGTGCTCCAAGGCTTCCCACTGTCTGACAGTCGGGGATGCCATGAACTGGCTTAGTACACTGACTGGATAAGTAATATCCGGACGAGTTACAGTGAGATAGTTTAACTTGCCAATCATTCTCCTGTACCTCTCAGGATTCTCAAATGGTTTGCTCTTCTGAGCCTCAAGCATCTGTTTCTCATCATCAAGAGAATCATCGAGTGGTATGCTCCCATCAGCGTCAAGGAGTGGGTTGTGAACCATAGGAAACTTAGTCGGTGCTGCTCCCAACTTTCCAGTTTCCTTCAGGAGGTCAAGAACATATTTGCGCTGTGTCAGTAATATGCCCTTCTTGCTTCTCATAACTTCAATACCTAGAAAGTATGTCAGAGAGCCCAGATCCTTCGTCTGAAAGTGGGAATTAAGAAAGGACTTGAGGGACGAGATGCCCGAACCATTACTGCCTGTGATCACAATGTCATCTACATATACCACCAAGAGAATCATGCCAGCCGCTGTTCTTTGATAAAATACAGAATGATCGCACTTGCTTTGGCTCATGCCAAATTTCTGTACGACAGTACTGAACCGGTCAAACCATGCACGAGGGCTTTGCTTCAAACCATACAAGGACCTCTTAAGGCGACATACTTTCCCATGCTCCCCCTGAGCAACGAACCCAGGTGGTTGCTCCATATAGACCTCTTCATGAAGATCACCATGTAAGAACGCATTTTTAATGTCTAATTGATGTAGATCCCAATCATAAGTAGCAGCCAGAGAGATGAACAGACGGACAGATGAGAGCTTAGCAACAGGAGAAAAGGTTTCGGAATAGTCAATGCCATAGGTTTGTGCATAACCTTTAGCCACAAGGCGAGCCTTAAGGCGGTCAAGTGTGCCGTCAGCCTTAGTTTTCGGAGTGAACACCCATTTACATCCAATGGCCTTTTTACCCGCCGGTAAATCGACCAGGGTCCATGTACCAGCCCGATCAAGGGCCGCCATCTCCTCTTCCATTGCAGCACACCAACCTGAGTGGGCCAAGGCTTCACGAATAGTTCTGGGCACAGAGATAGTATCTAGGGAGGCAACAAAGGAACTGGACACAGGAGACAAGCGGTCATATGAAACAAAGGACGAAATAGGATGGGCACAAGTACGTTTACCTTTGCGAAGGGCAATGGGTAGATCAAGAGAGGCATCCGGGTCTGGAACAGGAGGTGTCTCAGGATTAGGGTCAGAACGAGGTTCAGTGTTGCTCAACTCAGGATCTGAGGGCGAGGCGGACCAGGGAGGAATAGAAGCTGGCGTGGCGGTAGTAATCTCCTTTGACCGTCGTGGATACACACGATCAAATGGTTGAACAAGTGCGGGAGCGGGTGCTTGCGACGACAGTGATGGTGAGGTGACAGAGTATATTAGAAGGTCATCCTCCTCCGCAGGTGGAGCAGGTGGGGAAGAATGCGAGAAATATGGTGTGGACTCCTGAAAGGTGACATCTGCAGATACTAAATAACGATTGAGAGTAGGTGAGAAGCAACGATAACCTTTTTGGACCCGAGAGTATCCAAGGAAGACACATTTAAGCGACTTGGGGTCTAACTTTAAAATAGATGGACGTACATCCCGCACAAAACAGACACACCCAAATATCTTAGGAGCAATAGGGAACAAAGGCTTAGAAGGAAAGAGGGTAGAAAAAGGAGAGTTACCATCAAGAACAGAGGAAGGCATTCGATTAATAAGGAAGCAGGCAGTGGAGACCGCGTCAGCCCAAAATGGTTTAGGAACCTGCATTTGAAACAAAAGTGCACGGGCCACCTCAAGTAGGTGGCGATTTTTTCTTTCTGCAACACCATTTTGAGCTGGTGTATCGACACAAGACGACTGATGAAGTATACCATTTTGAAGAAGCATGTAAGATTGGAACGAAGCAGAGAGATATTCTTTAGCATTATCACTTCGTAAGGTGCGAATAGAAACATTAAATTGAGTTTTAATCTCAGCACAAAAGGCACAAAAATGGGAAAACAATTCAGAACGATGTTTCATTAAATATAACCAAGTTGTCCGGGAATAATCATCAACAAATGTAACAAAGTATTTAAACCCTGCTTTGGACTCTACAGGACAAGGACCCCAAACATCAGAATGGACTAACTCAAAAGGGGATGAAACCCGTTTATTGACACGAGACACTAAAGGAAGACGATGATGCTTGGCAAACTGACATGACTCACAATCTAAAGACGACAAATGCTAAAATTGAGGATAAACTTTCTTAAGAGAAGATAGAGACAAATGACCCAATCGACAATGAACTTCAAAAGGAGAATGACTGCTAGCGCAAGCTACCGCATGAGACACCCGATCATCCAGTATATAGTGCCCGCCAGATTCATAACCTCTACCAATAATCCGCCTCGTCAAAAGATCCTGTATCAAGCAATGAGAAGGAAAAAGTGAGACCCAACAGTTTAGTTGACGGGTGAGTTTACTGGGAGATAGGAGATTAAAAGCAAGTTTAGGAACATTTAGCACAGATGACAAACGGATAGAGGGTGTGGGATTAACAGTGCCAAAACCGAGAACTTGAGACTGGGAACCATCAGCGATGGAAACACTTGACGGATTGGCAAAAGCATTATAAGAGGAGAAGAGATGGTTGTTACCTGTCATATGATCAGTAGCCCCGGAATCTATGATCCACTTTGAGGAAGAAGAAGCAAGGGCAGTAGCATTATTACCTGTTGTAGCTGCGGCACTCACAGATGGTGTAGTAGATTTTAACTGGGCATACTCAGCAGCAGAAATCGTGACTGTGTCACTGGCTTGTGTAGCCACGTGGGCACTGGCTTGTGTAGCCACGTGGGCAGAGTTATTCCGTTGCTGTTTATTCTGAAGTTTTCGACATGTGCGTTTTGTATGCCCCGGTTCTTTGCAGTAATAACACACTACCCCACTGGAGTCAGAAGGGGCTCCCCCTTGCTTCGAACCACCACGGGTAGGCCCCCCGCGGTTATCAATGGGACTACGAGTCTCATAGGTGCCCTTACTGAGCAAGGCACTTGTAGGAATACTAGCAGCTGGTGGCAAGAGATTCTCAGCTCTCATTACTCTGGAAAACACATCTTAAAGGTCAGAAATTTCAGATCCGGATAAGATTTGAGACCGAACTGTGTCGTACTCAGGTGGGAGACCAGTAAGAAAGCTCATAATAGCCATTTGCTCCCGTTGCTTATGCTGAACCTTCAAATCAGCAGTAAGAGGCATTAACACATTCAGTTCTTCATACATCCTTTTAAAGTCCATAAAGTAGGCTTTGAGAGGACGATCCTGTTTTTCAGAACGATAGAAAGCTTTGCAGACCTCGTAAACACGAGAGATATTTCCTTTTCCTGAATACAAAAAATCTAAATAATCCATTAGTTCCTTAACCAATTCACAATGATTAATAGAGGGAATAATCTCACTGTCAATGGAATTACGGATCTGGAAAAATAGCTGTGCATCATCCCGCAACCAGGTCTTTTTGGAATCAGTTGTTGGAGGATCATCAGTCAGATGGTCTTCCTTCTCAATGCTCCGCAGATAGAGGCGAATGGTTTTACTCCAATCCAAATAATTTACCCAAGTCAACTTGTGATCAGTAATTTTAGTAATAGTTGGGACAAGCTCCGAGACAGATTTAATTTCCGCCATAGATGAAGTGCACTAACCAAAGGGAATGCGAAAGAGTGTTACACAGGAACACAAAGCACGATACCTGGATTACCTAATGAATACCAAAGCAGTGAAAAGGCCAACAGCTACACAGGGAGCTGCAAACAGAACTGAATTGCACAAACAGTGTGCCGGAGATGCGCCAGAAACGAAACAGAACGCTAGAAAGTAAAAACCGTACGGACCGTACGGACACTGTACGGACGCCGAGTGAACAGTGCAGAGTGCCGGAAAAGCCGATGAACAGTGCAGAGCGTACGGACTGTACGGACGTCGAGTGAACAGTGCAGGGCGGTGGCACCAAGGGAAGCGTCGGGAAGAGGGTCACGAGCTCACACAGTAATTTTGGTACTGTAGCAATCGAAAATTAACACCCAGAAAGAAAATTCCCACGCTCTGATACCATGTAGGGAATAGAATAATATGGAGAATAATTCTCTTGTATCTCATTGATCAGAATATACACATATATATACAAGTGAGAGGAGCCTCTGCATTAATGGCTCATTATGATATTATCACATCACAGTCTTAATGTTTCATCCTCATCACTGTCCCTTGTGTATTATGGATCATCGCAAATGGAAGCCTTGCCTCAATAATCAATTTTGCATTAAAGCGTGTGCCTTTTGGCTAAGTAGTTTCAATCTTCAAAATCTTTTGCTTCGTTGAGAACCAATTTTTGTTTCAAAAGCTAGTAATTAATTCAGCATAAAAGTGCTCTTACTCTGGGATTAATCCTATATAGCTTTTGAAACAAAAATATGGACCGGCAATGTCAATTGATGGAGTGCTGGTTTACTCCAACATGAACTAATTCAACAGACTTTCAGCAATCTGTGGTAATGTCAAATGGGTTCTGGTACAATTTTTGAGCTTTAACCAAGAATAACACTAGTGATATTTTAAGTTTTTTTTTAACTCACAGGTAGCCTCTTATCGGAAGCAATTCAGTTTAAGCAAAACTATGTACTAAATGTGAGTATCTCTTACAGCAAACATTCAAACATTGGTTCACCATATTATAAAGGACTAGTAGCCTCTTCTACTAACCTGACTTTTGTTGGTTAATTATATTGTTAGTTCAACGTATAAAATACTCATTCAAGTTCAAATAGGGTGAATTACAATGTTCTTGAACTTCATAATTGCACGAGACTTTCTTGTAGTTCATAGCATCAACTTTTGTTGTCATTTATTCCATAGCAAGTGTTAAGCACTGCTGATCTGAAAGATAAATGGAAACATATGAAAGTATATATGAATGCCAAGGAAGAAACTTGCTCTCTGTAGTTTTGATAGAATACTTGTTTTCTAGAGCAATTAAACAAGGGAGTGTTTCTTTGTTAACTTTTGAGTGATTCTTGTAAATAAATTCAAACATATATGACATTTCATGGTCATGGCGTTAGATGGACATTTTATTGTATAAGTGCTATGATTCATTTTAAAAGTATTATTATTGACATTTTTGTGATATTAATTTCTCAAGCCACTATATTTCACTTCAATCCTTTCACTTTTGCACTAAAGTTTTATCATTTATTAATAATGTTCGATAACATGTAATTTATTTATTTTCTTTTAATAATTTTTAATTAAAAAAGGTAAAATATAGCCCACTTTACATGCTGAAGAGGGGACAATAATAACGTCTTTTTATTAAATTATTTGATTCTAAAATATAATAACCTAATAGTATATGTTTATCAAGTAAATTGATTTTAAATTATTTGATGATGTTAATACTGATTTAATTTTTTTATGGTGATTTTTAATTTGATTTTAATCATGAATATATTTTAATATAAAGACAAAGATATTTTAGGTATTTAAATATTTACTTATTTTCTTCTCAGTTTTTCCTCATCCACGTTCGTACTCGAAACCCTTAAAATTAAAACTAAAGACTCATGAACAATGCTTCGTCTGAATAGTCGATGTTTAAAATTTGAGGTCCAATTCTTGCCCCGCCCCAGGTGACGCATTGTCCAAAATGGGCCAACACTAACAATTGGGCATGTTTGTGAGGGTGCACTTGCCTGGTAAATTGGCTTGTCTTTTATTTTTTTGGGCTTGGCTTGTCTTTGATGAGAACTACGGAGTACTTTTTAACAAATTAAAGAAACAAGTATTAATGGTATGAGATTATAAAGTGAGATGGAGCTCACGACTTTCTGTTTTTTCTTTTTTTTTGAGCTGGACTCACGACTTTCTACTTAAAAAGGGGCATCAATGTCACTAAGTTATAAGGGCTTTGACTCATGAGAACTATTTTTGATCTTATATGAAGTGCATATATACTTGAATTTAAAAAAAACAATTTAGAAAAATTTTAATTGACAATATTTAAAAGATAAATTACAATGTTAAATTATCTTACCTTTGCAAAAAATATTTTTTACTAACGTTATTTAAAATTAATTCAACTTATTAATCTTAAATAAAAATTTTAATTATCATAATGTTGAGGTATAGAACAAAAAAAAGGATCGAACCAGCCGATTAAATCAGAAAACCAATAAAACAGCCAGTGGTCTGATTTGGTTTAGATATTAAATCGGTCAAGAGTTGAATTGGTCAAACCGGTGTGAACCGGTAAAAACCAGTTTGAATGATTATATTGCTATTAATCCTATTTGTTTTCATTTAGTTCTTAATATCTCAGTCACTATATATTTAAATGAATTTTAGTGATGATTTTTGTAACATCACAAATTTTTTGACTTAGGAAAAAGCATAAAGGAGAAAATTTATTTGAAATTATTGAAAGCCTAAATAAATTGGAAAAAATTATGAAGTATTAGTTTTAAGGATTAGAAATTTTGTGGAAAAGTGTATTTTCCCAAGAATGGCTCAAATAATTTTAAAGATGATTTTTGGGGTAGTATGGCCTATTTTCTTAGAAAATTTAAGAAAAAATAGTTAGAGGTTTATATTTAAGCTGAAAACTTTATGATATTTATTTTATGAGGTAAATAATTTATTTGAGGTATAAATTCCTTAAAATGAGTTAAGGATTAGTTTCTAGAATTAAAAGCTATTTTCTTGAAAAATTTTAAAAAATAGCTAGGAGTTAATTTTTGACCCGAAAATTTTAAAGAAATTATTTTATGAGTCAAAGAAGTTAATGGATAATATAAATCCATATAAAACATTATGAATTAATTTCTGGGTTTATCTTATAATTTTAGAATTACAGAGAAAAAGGATGAAATTGAAAGGAAGCATTGAGAATAAGGCAAAATGTACATTTTCTTTTAACTCCCACATCACACGGGTGCCACCTCACTGTTTAACATCAGATTACACTGCCTCCCTCCTCATATTCACTCTGCCACTCGTAAGAAATGGGAGAGAAAGTTGAGAGAGATACAGCAGAGGGAGACCGGGACAGACAGTGCCGGAGGTGGTGATCGGAGGAGTGATTGTCACATGCGAGCTAAGATTCTGAACAAGGTGAGTCCCCTGATCATCATCCTGCTCTTCTTCCTTCGGTTTGTTGGGTGTTTGAAGAGCTAATGATGAAAGAAATTTGGGTTTTAGTGAGAGGAATTTCCGGTTTAAGTTGAAACTTGGTGATGATGAGAAAACGTTGGTTGATGATGGTGTAAGATTTTTAGCTTGCATGTAAGTTTTGGTGGATGAATGTTATTCTTTTGCCTCTGTTTCTGGGTTGGCCGAACAGGGGTATATGTTTCTGCAAGTGTTGCTTTCGGTTTCCATGTACATTGAGTTGTAGGAGGATGTTTTTGAACTTGCATGTCCCTTTCTTGTCCTCTGCATTCCTATCCGGTTTGTGTGTGTATGTCCGAATCTGGGTTGTGATTTTTCAAGGTCAAATGTTAGACTGGTCCTCCGTGCTGTCAAGTTATGAAGCTAGTGAGGGGGAGTAGGTGTATGCAGGGATGTACATATAAGTATATATATATAACCGAATGGTTGCTCTGTTTCTGTTGGCCGAAACACGGGTTAAACGAGTCTCTGGTTGGTGTTGAATCTTAGTGGTAGAAGAGAGGAATAATACGGTGTTGATA